AAACAAATAACATACAGCACTACTACGATTACAGAAAAGTTCACTCTGTTATAATTCACTCACATTTTAATACATTTTGGTGCGATTTTAACCCACTATGAAAAATTTAAAAAACAGCAACACCTGAATGTTTTGAATGAAATGCTGTAATGTAGCCATGGTGGAAATTAATTTTAATGTGGCACCCCACCATGGAAGAAAGAATGTAGCGGAAACCATGGTCAAGAGCACACTTATTTGTATAGTAAAAAGTTTGATCATTTTCTGACATTTATTATTCCTAGTTATTTCTCCAATAGGCAACTGAATCCGAAGTTCTAAAACAATGGCAAAAAACAAACACATTTCTGCATTGCTGAATAAGACCAATAGGCTCTGCTGGACTTTTTTGTATTTTTGTAACAAGTATATCATCACTTATCACTTAGTATTTGTGGAAAGAAGTCTTGTCTATAGAAATCTCATCAGGGGGATCAATTTCCTGTAGTAATAATAATAATAATAACAACAACAACAGCAACAAAAACAACAACAACAATAAAAATAATAATAATAATAATAATACAATATTTGTTTATTCAGACTAACCTAAAACAAAAGTAGCATGATAATTCACTTTTAATTACTTTATACTGTATATAGATTCTTAATATAGACCCTGATTATGATTACGATTAATATGATTATTAAAAACACTCATGTACCATTGGAGCAAAAAGGAAGGTTGTAGGAAGTTAATAACAGCAATCGTCCAAAATATTCTAATATACAAAATTTTATTATGTATTAGTTTTATTATTTATATTAACAATATTTTAAATTACATAATGACTAATCAAATGGCCCCTAGAGGGCTCTGGTCCCTTGGTTGAGAGGAACAGATTTAAGCCTAGCTGCTTTTCATGCCAAGATAGACAATTATTTATCTATTAAATAACTATTTACAAAACAGTTTATCTAATCTTAAATAAAAAAATTACAAATGCTTAATTATCACTGCACCCTAGTAAATACTATTAACACAATACAGAGTTCTTAAAACTATCCTGTCAAATCAGCTTCTTTTTTAACACGATTATTTATAAGAACACTAAGTATCTCATAAACAATTTACAATTCTATTAAACATTAAAGCTACAACATTTAGGACCAAACAAACTCCCACATACAGACGCACACTGGATTTCTTTCAGTAGACCAACAAATTTAGGCTAATTACTGCCAATTGGCTGCTGGCCGGAGCCCCACGATCCACAGCGGTGCCCCTGCGGCTGTGCAGAATCACCCCGGGACATGTGGCGCCGTCTTTGAGATCGCTAAATAATAAGACACACGGAGCCCGGCCTACAACCACAGCCAAACTGAGAACCACTGAATCACTCAGCATGGAGAATAATGTGTGGAACAGGCCAAAAAACAAGCCCGTTTCAGCTAAAGTGCCAAAACTGAGAACCACATCTTCACTCATAATGGAGAATAATGTGTATGAACAAGCAGAAAAATTTATAGAAATAAAATTTGCTAAAGTTTAAACTGAGAAGCACTGACTCAAATTAGAAAACATGCAATAAATAGACAAAAAAATAACTTTTTCTTTTTCGAAAACAGGCCTTCCAGTATGCAAACTCAAATAAATCAATCTCAAAAGCGCAATGAACTGTGATTTGATGATGAGAAGTAAGCTGTTAAAACCACTCATTTGTGATTTAGCACAGAGAATAATGTGTGTAACAGGCAATAAAGAAACAAGGCCGTAGGATTCACTCAAAATGGAGAATAATGTGTGTAAATGTAGGCCAAAACATATATAGAAATAAAAAATTAAAAGCCTGTATCAGAAAAAAAGTATTGCAAACTCGAGTAAATCAATCTCAAAAGCATGATAAATTGTGAAAAAACAAGCCTGTATCAAAAAAAGTGCCAAACCGAGAACCACATCTTCACTCAGAATGGGGAATAATGTGTGTAAACAGACCAATATATATATATATAACCTAAAACCCTGTATCAAAAAAATACTAAATCACTAAATAGATAAGAGTTGGCCCTCTATAGAATAAAAAATATTGGTTTTATTTTTAAATTGTATATATTACATTGTTTTATTTGTGCATTTATGAGGGAAAAGCGTTGGTTTGGATGTCACATCTCTCTGTTATGGACAGATGTGAAATTGCCACTTGTGTGACTTTGGTAAATCAAATATAATGGTTTAAAACATTGACAGAGACAATCTTAAGTATTTCTAAAGTGCTGTAAAATACTTGCTTAAACAAACTTAGAAACTATTTATGTAGTTTGGTGAAAACTTTATTTTTTTCATGGCAAGGTTGACATTTGCATGCATTGCTTGTGTATAAACAGGCGTGAATTGTGATTGGATGGTGAGAAGTAATCTGAAAAACATTCAATGATTTCTGATTCAACACAGAGTACAAAGTGTGTGACAGGCAACCCAAAAATCAGCCCATTTTAGAGTGCCAAACTGAAAACCACAATATAAACAGGCAGAAAAAAGTACGGAGAACAACTGACTGAGTAAAATTAATGAACATGCAGTGGACAAAAAAATAAATACAACAAAACAACCATATTCTTTTTGTTTAGTTTTTTTTTTTTTTTTCTAAAACGGGCCTTTAGGTATGAAACCACAATTAAATCAATCTCAAAAGCGTGATGAACTGTGATTGGAGGGTGAAAAAAACAAGCCTGTATCAGGAAAACTGACAAACTGAGAACAACAGATTCACTCAGGATGGAGAATAATGTGTAAACAGGCCATAAATGTATATATATATAGAAATAAAACATTTTCATAAAAAATGCTAATTCACTCAAATTAAAGAAAACACAATAAAATAACAATAAATATAAATAAATCACATCAAAACAACCACTTTTTTGGTTTAGTTTCATAATGGAGAATAATGTGTATGAACAAGCATAAAAAATTTTGGTTTAGTTTGCATTTTTTTTCTAAAACAGTGTATTGCAATCTCAAATAAAACAATCTCAAAAGTGTGATGAATAGTGATTAGATGGTGCAAGATAATCTGTGAAAAACATTTAATGATTTCTGGACATGAAAAAAAGATTTCAGTATAAAACATCTGTAGGATTTGATATTTGTTCTGAACTTATTGTAAGCGTTTTAAAGCTCACTGCTGCCACACAGTGTTGTGAATGCGCGAGTGCACGTTAGAACAGAGGCTGCTTTTGTGCTGCATATTTTGAAGGCCACATTTCTCATTTGTATTCATACTAACAGAGTGTCCTTACAAGTCTATAAATAAACCCATGAAGACATACGCAGGAATGAGAGAGAGAGGGTGTTGATTTCATATTTTACGGGCATTTTGGAGTGAAAACGAGAAGCCGCAGTGATAAAAGACATACTGTATAATGGTGGTCTTTAACACTGTATCAGTCTGTACATAATCTCTCTGAAATATTACTGTGAATCTTGTTGAAATATTTTTACCATTTAAAATGATTGTGTCCCTTCAAAATGTGGAGCCACACACTTCTCTATAAGTTATTTATTTCATTTGATCTGTTATTCTTATGTATTCTTGAAGATATTGTACTATGTTGTGTACTGTGAAATGGCCTTTGTACTCATTCTGTTCAAGTTAAATATTAGTTTATTTTCTTATGCTAAAAATAATGAAAAACAAATCAATTATAATTTACAGACAGATGAATTTTCACACCTTCAGTCTTTAGTATCAAATGATCCCTTAGAAATTAAATAAATTTTCAAGTAACAATTATTTTTAACCTCAATCTTGAAAACACCTGCACCACTACACATAACTTATTACACAATGTTGCTTTTTGTATTTTTTATTTTACAACAGTAGTGTCTTTTATAATATCTTTTAATTATTAAAAAAGAAAAAATAATAGTATTATTTAATAGAAATTATTATTTTAAATAAATGTATTTTTAAATATATGTTGCTCAAATAAATGTTGCCCAAAACTGAATCCCTTTATGTTTATTCATGCACCGTTAATGAATAAAGGAAATAACTTCATTCAAAAAATATATTAGCAGCTTGACTATTTTAAATGGTGGTATACATGTTTTTGAGTTATAATATAATATAATATAATATATAATATAATATAATATAATATAATATAATATAATATAATATAATATAATATAATATAATATAATATAAGGCTGATGACGGCCAATCTGAATCTCCAAAACAAATGTTTAATAAAAAAAAAAAAAAAAATAAGCACTATCCTTATTTAAAAAATGCATAGTTGCAATCTAAACAACTACATTCTTGTCTAAAAAAGCCTCAAAAGTACATTATGTTGTCCAACAGCTGCAATATTTGTCAAACTGAAGTGTCCAGTCAAGAACCAGATAGAACTGTTGTATATAATATAATATAATATAATATAATATAATATAATATAATATAATATAATATAATATAATATTAGGCGACATGGTGGCGCAGTAGGTAGTGCTGTCGCCTCACAGCAAGAAGGTCGCTGGTTCGAGCCTCGGCTGGGTCAGTTGGCATTTCGGCATGGAGTATGAATGTTCTCCCCGTGTTTGCATGGGCTTCTTCCAGGTGCTATGGTTTCCCCCACAGTCCACAGACATGTGGTACAGGTGAATTGGGTAAGCTAAATTTTCCGTAGTGTATGAGTGTGAATAAGTGTGTATGGATGTTTCCCAGAGATAGGTTGCAACTGGAAAGGCATCCGCTGAGTAAAAACATATGCTGGATAAGTTGGTGGTTCATTCCACTGTGGCAACCCCAGATTAATAAACGGACTAAGCCAAAAAGAAAATGAATGAACAAATTAATAATATAATATAATATAATATAATATAATATAATATAATATAATATAATATAATATAATATAATATAATATAATATAATATAATATATAGCTCTTTAGCTCATATAGGAAAAAGAAAGCTACATTTCCTCTCACCGTGACAACTCAAAAAAGGCACAAGGTTACCAGCTCAAGGTTACTATCGGCTGTCTTCGCTTCACCTGTGGTGCTATTCTAAGTGATGGATGGAGTGACGGACAAACACAGGCATGCATGAAAACAAGCGCAAACAGGCTAGACAAATCCTGAATGTCACACAGGCCAGGCAGTGGAGCAGACTCGGCTGAGAGATCCAGACTGCCTGAAGGTGATTCACACTGACAGAAGGGCTCCACACAGACTGAAAACACACGAGACAGGAAGGTTTACACCACTGTGGGCCAGTCAATGACTAGAAGAGAGCTTGTGAATGAGTATAAAAATAAAGAGAGTGATGACCACTGTGACACAGTGGCTGTTGTCTCATTTCTGTTTGATAAATATTTTGGAATAAATATGTTTAAGGTATAAAAAATAGGGAACTGTGAATGTTAAATCAGTTCCATTCAACTGTTTCAATACCTAAAACCAAATTTGGAATCGGTTCAGTATCGATATCAGTATCAATTCGTTATCGAACATTTGTGATCTGTTTCTGCATCAAAAGATACACATCCTGAGGTAACCTGATATTACAAATCGCGAAAAATTTATTTTTTATCTAGCAGCTAACTCTCTGCAACTCTCACATGGGTATCCACTGAAGCTAAGCAGGGCTGCGCCCGGTCAGTACCTTGATGGGAGACCACATGGGAAAGCTTGCTGCCGGAAGTGGTGTTAGTCAGACCAGCAGGAGGCGCTCAACCTGCGATCTGTGTGAGTTCTAACGCCCCAGTATACTGATGGGGACTCTATACTGCTTAGTGAGCGCTGTCTTTCAAATGAAACGAAAAATCAAGGTCCTGACTCTCTGTGGTAGTAAAATATCCCAGGATGTACTGGCCAAATTTCCCCACTGGCCTCTGTCTATCATGGCCTCCTAACCATCCCTATGTTATAATTGGTTCATCACTTTGTCTCCTCTCCACCAATCAGCTGGTTTGTGGTGTACGGTAGAGGTCTGCATACCGGGAACAGATTTCCGAATAAAGCGCGGGACCGGTCAGTAACTGGTGTATTTTGAACGGGAGCGAGCGGTCCAACAATATCGTTACCGACTCCTGAGCGAGCGAGCATGCGTTATGTATCTGTGTGAATGAGAGAGCGTGATGCTTCATTTAGCTTGTTTGTTGCTGTCTTGTGTGTGTGTGTGTGTGTGAATAAGGGAGAGAGAGCTTGGTGGTGTGTGTGTGTGTGTGTGTGTGTGTGTGAATGAGAGAGAGCATGATGCTGTCTGTGTCACTTGCTTGGTGCTGTGTGTCTATGTGTGTCTGTGTGTGTGTGTGTGTTTATACAGACAGCTTGTTATGAGCTGTCTGGACTCTGCATAGCTGGGTGGTTTTCGGTCATGCCATATAAAATGTGCAGCAGTTAAAGAAACATACATGAATGCAAAGAAAGATGGCATAATAAAATAAGTAATTAAAAAAACATGAAATAATAAGAACAGTAATAGATCTAAAAATCTAATCAAAGCTACCCTTAAAAAGTACATTTTAAGAGATGATTTAAAAATCCTCATGGATTCTGCATTGCAAATATCAGATGGTAAAAAGCTCCACAATTTAGGTGCCAATGAACAGAATGGCCATAGATTTTAGTTGCGTTGACTGAGCAGTTAAAAAACCAGCATCAGACAAGCGTAAAGCGTATGGGATTAAAAGCTCAGGTAAATATTGTGGTGCTAGACCATTCAAGGTCTTATACGCAACCATAAGGATTTAAAAATCTATTGAGCTTTTTAAAAATAGAAGTTATGTGTTCTCTTGCACTGGCCCTAGTCAGAATTCTGGCTTTCTGAATTCTGAATTCCCAATTCTGAATTCTGGAAAACATTTCTATTGAGCCCACTGTTAAAATGGGCAACTTTACAGCAGTAAACAGGTGTTTACAGCCTGGTACAAAGAACGATTTTGGTTCATATAGCTAATATTACCCTTCATGACAACTGTGAGGGGGGTGAATTTATTTATAACTAATCCGTTTCCTTTATATAGGGTTTTATTAAGTTTGCATAATTCAGGGTGTGGCCACTTGAGTGACAGCTAGGTCTTGCTGGTTGCCATCAATTCACCTTAGCTAATTCCGGCTGATTGGCCGCTGAACTCAGCATACACATAGCATTTCTGTGTTGTTTTTGTGCCATTACACAGTCAATTGCCTTTTGGAATTATTTCCCACAATTATCATATGATATGGCATGCTGTGTGCACTTAATTGTGCTCACAAACCATTCACATGGCCTCCGTTTCCCAGGTGAGTGAAATTATATACTTATATACCATCTCTATAAATGTATTTGCTTTATTTAAGATCATTTATCATTTACAATGTAACTCACACTTTCCTCCTGTTGAACAACGTCATAAGAACAATGCATTAGGGTTGTGCCGATAGACGATACTATCGTCTATCGACGATAGTCAGCCATATGGACGATAGCTAATAAAAATGACGATAATACGGCTTATTTTCTAGTTGTTGTTTTTTTTCAAAATTATTATTAGGCAGTTAATATTATCAAAGTACAATTCATTGGCCCTTGCATATTTCACACTGTCATCGTCGCGTAACCTTCACCCACCTGACACCAGAGGAATATATTTTAAAAATCATTCATAAATTTATCAGTGTTAGGCTAATATACAAAATTATGTAATAATATATAATTTTTGTTATTTTATAGTTATGCTATTTTTGTTGTAGGCTATAACAAAAATACTAAAACAAAACGAAAATAATGCACTTTTGCCGTTTTTTTTTAACATGGTTAAAATAACTGTACAATGTCTCTTTTTAACAAGCAGGCTTGACATAATTTGTGAAAGAAGGAAATTTAGTTTTAAAGTCGCTTAATATGTTTTTCAAAGAGGAGTGATTCTCTTTTAAAAATCGTCATATGCATGCAAGCCGCAAATGTATGATGCGTATTCAAAATAAATGCACAATAATCAGTCGGCTATGAAAATGAAAAGGTTTATTTCAAACTCTGACTTGTTTAACATATTTAACATAAAATAATGTTTATCTTGTTGCTAATAGCCAAACACGTTTCAATAAACAAAATGCAAAAAAAAATTAAATAACCAAGAACTAAAATAATGCAATAGTTACATTGCTTGCAGTCTTAAAACAATATGACTGTTTACGATGCAAGAGTAATGCTTCCGTCTACAGATTTTTTGCCAAAAAAACAAGTTGGTTAACTTTTTCTGGTTTGAGTAGGCTGCGAAGTGGAGTGATTATGTTACCGGCTGCGCTAAACACGCGCTCTGAAGGGGTGCTAGTTGCGGTAACACACAGGTATTTTTTTGCCAGGTTTGCCATTAAAGGAAAACGGCGTCTATTTTCTTTCCACCAGTCCAGTGGCTTGTCATCACCATCAATTACTTCCTCTTGTAAGTAAGACGTGATTTCAGATTTTGCGCGCTGGTCTACAGGTGTGGATGTGGACACAGACGGCTTTGCTCTCCCAAGAAGACGACCCAGTGTTTTGATCCTCTTAGCCGGCTGATTCTCACTTGATGACGTACCTGCCGCATCATCTTCCTCTTCCTCCTCCACTCTGATGGGTACAGGTGGCATATTCCAATATTCCACCATCTCAACCTCAAGCTGTGATTTGATCACATCAAGTTGTGCGGCATCGATGTGGTCGCCCTTATAGCGTGGGTCAAGGAGGGTAGATTTGCGCATTAGTTGGAGGGTACTGTCGTCATATTTCGAGTTGAGTTTCTCCAAAATCCGCCGTTTAATTCCTGCCGTCATCTCCACATCAGTCTCCTCCTCCTTCAGGATATCCTTTGTTAGCTGCAGCATGGGCAGCAGAGATGAGACTGTCACGTAATTTTCAGCTGATAAAATATCAGTAAATTCTGCGACAGGCTTCAACCCATCCCTGACAGCCTCTAGTACAGCAATGTCCTGCCAGGTCACGTTTGGGAGTGTTCCACGACGGCTCTTGTCATCAGCAAAAACCCTTTTGATGGCAGGAAGCTGTTCCAGAAATCTTACTACCATGGCATATGTTGATCCCCAACGAGTTGTACAATCCTAAAATATATTAAATGACAATTATGCGTCGATTGTTAATGTGATCACTTATTACACTGTAAAAAGTTTTTCAAGCAGTCCCTCACCCAATTAATAATTTGTCTTCAATTAAATTTGTAATTATTTGTTTTATTTTTCAAGTAATATATTTTTAGTTTAAAAAGTTGCTCAATCTAAATATTTTTTATTAAGAACTCAATTAATACATTTTTTGTTTTGACGAATATACAATTTTTAGGTTGGATATTTTGTACGCGCATGCACATTATACACACTCATCACCACCAGCCAGTCAACGGTCCGCGGTCGAATCGCAGACGACGCACTGGTCACTTGTGTGGATGTGTGGAAGTAAAGTTTAAGTTTTTAATAAATATCGATGTAATCAAAATTATTGATGTCTTTTTGTATGATTTGGTCAAATAATAATTATTTACAAATTTACAAATAATAATTATTTACAAAAAAAATCCAATTTTTAATTGAAAAAAATCTAATACATAGGCTATTTCTTAATTAGAATTTTTTGTTTTGATTACATCTAGGCTATTTCTTTTTGTTTTTATCAAAAACACAATTTAAACATTTTTACTTCATTCAACAAGAAAAATGTATAGGCCTACATTGTGCCAACTGCCAAGTTATATAAAATAGTTTTCTTAGATTTATAAAATATTGTTTAGGTCAAGTTACTTATTTTTCATTGACTAAAATGATAAAATATAGATGTGAACATTACCTTAATTTTTTTTAGTTAGCCTAGATCAACAGAAATCTTTTTACAGTGTATAGCCTAATTAAATAATATTATATTTGATTTACAAGTATTATTTCTAGTCTGACAAAATATATATATTTTTTCTTATTTTTCACTAAGATGGTTGTGCCACAAGATAAATATTAAGCAAATAAAATATAATAATTTCTGTACCGTTATCAGCATACGTTGAGGTAAATTTAGCTGTTCCTGCGCCTTGCGGAGCTCTTGTCGCCTCTTCCAGCTGTGAGAAAATGCCCCGTTAATATTGCGACAGATTCCAAGAGCGCGATCAGTTTTTGTTTTCTCCTTTTGTAGAGAATAATTCACTGCCACATTCAAGTTATGGCCATAACAGTTCAGCCATGGCCATCCGAGCCTTCGTATGGCCGCAACAATATTGGCCCCGTTGTCAGTTGTAATGCATGAAATTTTACTCGGTTCTATGTCCCAATCTTGCATGGCATCTGACAGCGCCTCAGCCAGTACCTCTGCAGTGTGATTCTCCGGAATAAATGTTGTTTCCAGGCATTTTGCTTCGAGCTTCCAATCTTCCGAAATATAATGGACTGTCACAGACATATAGGGGGTCATGTTTATGCTTGACCACATGTCTGTGGTCAAAGCAACAAAGTTAGCAGCTTTCAGATCTTTAGCAATGATGTCCCTAGTTTCATTGTACAAGTTTGGGATAGCTGTTTCGGTGAAGTACTTGCGCCCAGGCAGCTCGTACTGTTTATCAAAGGTTTGGAGCAGGTCTTTAAAGCTTGCTTTCTCGACTGTATGATAGGAGACCATTTCCTTCGCAATGTACTTCGATACAGCTGCAGTGCACTGAGCCCACCTTTCACTGTTTCTTTTATACTTTGTGCTTTTTGAAAAAGCTCCGATGATTGATGGCTGACTTCGATCTTTGCTAATCGTGCCTTCTCTTGGCGCTAGTTTAGCAGCCTCAGCAGGGTGGCGGCCACGCAAATGTACATACATGTTTGTGGTTTGTGATCCTTTTACCGGCACAACCTTCGAGCAAAGTCTGCAAACTGCCTGCGTGACATCGGCGGGTTCACCTTTTTCATCTGGTGTAAACCCGAAATATTGCCAAATAGGCGATGTGGCATTTTTCTTTCCCACCAACTCCATCTTCCTTGTCAGAATGATAGACGATCCTCATTTCCCATGTGTCATTTCGCGTGATAATTATTAATTACGTTAATATTAAAATAAAAGTGTAAATTAAAAAGAAAAAGTAGACTAATAAGTAAATAAATGATCTTATAAATAAGCAAACAAATAAATAATCAAAAAATTGCCCCTCCCCCCGATACTATCGTGTATCGGCGATCTTACAGGCTGACGATAGGACGATATGACAATGGGCATTATCGCGCAACCCTACAATGCATAGTGGCTTAATGTATTACAACAGTGTTTTTAAAAGATTAAACACTTTATTGATGTAGTATAAAACCAAGCACATGTGGTCAGAACACAAACGAGTTGCAAGAAATGAAGTATTAAAAAAAACAGCTTTGAACATTCCCTATCCTGAAACAAACTGTGGGCTTCATGGTCTGAATTTATGTTGCTTGTAGAAGGAATGTCAGACAGGTCACAGTGTGTTTAAGACCCCTGAACGTTTGCAAAGCATTTGAGCAAATACAACACAGATCTCACTGGCATGTTCTTATCCCATTTTGAAATAGATCAAGAATATTACAAATATCACATGCAAGCTTATGCTGTTTGTTTACAACTTTCTATGTAACAGTACCCAGGATGAGCACAAGTTCCATCATAATGAACAGTACGGCAGTCATGTCCTCCCACCAAATTGTAATAAACAGTGTCATTATGCAACAATACGCCTGCGCTTGAGACTGGCATGAAAGTGCTTGTGGATTAGACGTATACGATGTTTAGTTTCTTGCATAGACCGTTTCCCTTTATAAGACCTCAATGTATTGCCAGGTGTCATGGGCATTGATTTTGACCTTCAAATGGTCATGGAACATTATCATAAATTTGATTTAATTATATATTTTTTTGTTCTTGCTTGTCTATGTAAGCTTTATAAATGTAATACCTTAAATAAAGTTAAATATTACTTTAAAAATATGTCTGCAGCAACTACCTGGTTCTATTTAGGTAGGCAATACCCACTTTTCACAATTCAATCAATTCCCAATGGATAAACTCAAGTGCTGCCCTACATTCCTTCTCACAGAATATGCTGATGTGTGTCACGATGTGAAAGCAAAGCTGGTTTTGATGTAGAAAAAAGGTCATGGTCAAACTGTTCACCCTTTGCCAGATGTTATAACACCATCTTTCTCCATTAGATTAATAAAAAAATCAACCAGTATTCTGACAAAATAGATATGTCAAGTTAAACGTGTTTTAATAATACCCCATTATAGTGTGAAAAATGTTATTTCCTGCTGCCATTGACATCACCGTTCAAGCCACTATATTTACATTCAATTATTTGGCAGATGCTTTTATGCAAAGCGACTTACAAAAAGGGCAACATAATTGAATTAAAGCACCAAACGAACAACATTATGGCAAGTCCTAGATAGTTAACAACTAGAGCATGGTTTGGGATTGTGTGAGTTCTTGTGCTGCCATTATGATCAAAGCAGTCTTGTCACTCTTATTTCCATTTTTTTCTTTAGTGTTTAGTAGTCGAATAGTGATTGACTCAAAAAATCTTAAACCCAAATAGCAGGCTATACAATGTATATGTGGCTGATTGATTTAAATTAATTAATTCACTGTAAAATAAAAACTGGTTATTTTATGTTTTTTCCGGCACCCCAGCTGTAACGACTGTTAAAATTATATAAATTTACCCTAAAATAATGGATGTTAAATTACAGAAATTTCCATAAATTTAAATTTCCGGTCAATTTCAGTTAATGTCTGTTATTTTAAAGTAAATTTATGTAATTTAATGGCCGCTATTTTACAGGGGCTTTTTCCAGTACCCCAGCTTTAGTGTATGTTGCTCCACCCTGGAATCAAATTTGCACCCTATAAAGGTAAGAAAGATAAGGACTTTTTTCATTCACTCAAACCAATATTTGTCACTTTTTGACACTTTCCCCCCTCAAGCATCGATACAACTGTTTACATACAAAGGACAGCCTTTTCATGACTATCTAAAGCAGTGAATGTGAGGCTCACGATTGGCTGTAGGTTGCTAAGCATTTTGTCATAACATTCTAACATTGCATTGTTTCACACAGCACGCTTGGGGTCAACAGTGCAAAAGTCACGCTAACGCTGCTCCAAAAAAAGAGTTTCATATTCATAACCTCAGGTAAAAAGCGCTGCTAACACTGTTTCTCAGTTTCAATCTGAAACATTCCTTTACCTGGGGTTAAAAGCAATGTTTACAATGATGATAACCTGTGGTTAAACACACTAAGAAAAGCCATTAAAAGTTGCTAATATATTAGCACTCAGGTTTTCTGCTAAAGATGATGCAAAATTAAATTTTGGAAGCTGTTTGGACAGAACTGCATGTAGATGTAGCGCAGGGGTGTCCAAACTTAGTCCTAGTGGGCCGTTGTCCTGTATATTTAAGTTCCAACCCCAATTAAAAACACCTGAACCAGCTAATCAAGCTCTTTCCAAATATACTAGAAACTTCAGGGGGGAGTGAAGGAAGTTGGAGCTAAACTATGCAGTATACTGTCATATTGGAGAAAAAAAAAAAAGTCGTCTCGTTTTTTATTTGCTGACTTTAGAATAAGATTCAAATCCCAGCTATTTTAAAGCCCACCGCAACATGACGTAGGAGTTCGGTCTCAGCCAGGTAATTAAAAATAATGCAAAAGTAACTCAAAGGTAAAGCAATGCATTACTTACCATAAAAAGTAACTAAGTAATGAAACGAGTTACTTTTTTGGGGAGTAACTAAATATTGTAATGCATTACTTTCAAAAGTAACTTTCCTCACCACTGGTCACTACAACTATACTGGTCACTACAACTAACTTTCCTCACCACTGGTCACTACAACTACACGAGTCCCGGTTTGTGGATGTTAGATCTGGTTTATTTTGTACAGTAGCATAATGGATAAAGCATTGTACAGTAGTACAACTTGCTAGCCACAAAATGGGCATTTTCAGCATTGTATAATAAATAATCTGATTTTGAGCTGAAACCTTTCAGACATCAAAGACTTAATTTACATGTTGTAAAAGGGGTAAAACAGGAGCTATTTAATAAAAGACAGTAGAAATACCAAAGATTTATTATTTGGAATGTAGAGTCACACTTCACAATAAGGTTTCATTAATTAATCTGTTTGTTACGTGAACAATACTTGTAGAGCATTTATTAAACATAGTTCAACATTTATCAATGTAATATTGAAATCCAAATCCATGCTTGTTAACATTAGTAATGCACTGATTTAACAGTGAACGACTGTATTGTCACTAACTAATGTTAACGAACATAATGTTATTGTTTGTTCATGTTAGCAAATGCATTAACCAGCATTATCTAATACAACCTTATCGTAAAGTGTGCATTATTCTTTTGTAAATTAGAGTGGTCAGAATCAAATCATTTGAAAGCTACTGCTCTAAAAGCTACAATGCAAGTAGATGTTCAATCATTTTTCTGTGAGTGTGATTTCAACAGGAGCATGTTTTGGGGCAAGAAAAGAGAGCCCCATTTATTGCAGGGAAAGCACTTCTGCTGAGCCCAAAAGGAGAATCATCACGGGTCTGTACGCACAGCTAACCTACGTCTCCTGGGAGGAAGAACAGCCAGATGCGATTTACAACATAATTCAATTGCATACTGTATTTTAGGTCACAAAGGGCGATTAAACTCATTCCTCAACATGGATGGCCCTCTCATGTCTCTCCTGCACAAATCTGTCTCAGTTTCGGCTTTTACTATCCATTTCTAAAGTGAAACCATGATGTGTATCTACCGAACAATGTACCATTTTCCTCAGACAGTGTAGAGGCGATGAAGAAGGAGGGAAAATGGAGTGTGTCCCAGCACCAGGCCACAATGTCAGAACAATCGTAAAAAAAAAGAAAAGCTCACCACCTGCGGGTCTATTCAACTTCCTTACAAAGACCAGCTCTACAACAACTAAGATAGAATAAACTCACTTCCTCATTCTCTTCCGTCCACTCATGTTCAGACAAGTATGATGCGAGCAGAATTCAGTTATTCGCAGAGGTCAGACGGAAATGCTGAGTTGGTCAGCAAATTGAGTTAAGGAACATGATGTATGTGATGCAAGCGTGTCTGTGTGAGGGAGGCAGGGAATTGGACTGCGCCACAGATTTTCTTCTACGGAGGTGGAGGAGATGTCAACCTCCGCGTCTGTAGCGCTGGAAAAAGAACAGTCCACAAAGCTCAAATTGGATCAAATTATAAAATGGCTTTGACGTCACTGAAGTGCTTTCTTTCAAAGAGAAAAACCTCTGGTCTCCCTGCTAGAGCCTTTCAAATATTACTGAATGGGAAAAATTGAAAAGAATCACAGACGGGTTGACAATTCATGCCGAGACCAAAACAAATATTTACTGGTTTGAAAGGAATGGTATAACTTGGTATAACAGAGGGGGAAACACATCCTTTAATTGCTCTGGTACAACTCTAAACTCATTTTTAAATGAATGAAACTAAATTGACGTCATTGTGGTTATTTGTATAATGAAAATGATTGGTCAAGTATTGAAAGTTTAAAGATAACACTGTTATCACAGCAAAAGTGACATTTTCTGAAATAACAGCGCAATCATAACCATGTCATATTTACCATTTTATGGTGTATATTATATAACAAGCTACTAGTGAGCAGTGTTGGAAAGAGTGCTGAATAATCATACTTAAGTAAAAGTACCATTACTTGCCTAAAAACGTAGTGCAAGTGGAGTAAAAGTATGTTGTGAATATTACTCAAAGTATGAGTAAAAAGACCTTTCAAAAGTACTCAAGAGTATTATGCTGTAAACAGCTGATGCATTTACATGTAATTTGTGAATGTGTTAACGAAACATTCTGTAGTGCATCTAGGTATTACCCAGCAGGCACATCAAATCATAAGATGCTATTATTAGGTTAGATTTAGGTTGTGATGTCAGATGACCAAAATTCAA